CATGCATATTGATAGGATGCTAGGTCTAGGGCTACAATGGTGAAATGGCAAGGCCCTGGAGGGAGGAAAAATGCAAATAATTAAAATGCCACTAAGATAAAATTGTTTGCAAAAAGTGAAAAGTGAAACTTCTGTAGCAGGTGGGTGGAGCTCTGCAGTCTGTCTGAGGAGCTGAAGAAGGTTTCATTGAAGAACTGGCATTTATGCTGAGAGGAAATTTGGCAGGTAGAAAGGGTAGCTGGGAGAGGATGGAATGGAAGGGTTTTCTCCAGGCAGAAGGAGCAAGCAACGGGACTGCTGAAGTGTGAGTTTCCAGAGGGAGAATTGGTTTGGAGAATGCTTGATAGCTAGGTCTCAGGCCTGGGCCTGGGCCTGGACCTGGTTTCTCTCCAACTTTTCTAGCTACTGCTTCTCTGTCTTTTTTGCTGATCCCTTGTCTGTGGCTTGTCCATCGCAGTCTGGTTCCCCTGGGGCTCTGACCTGGCTGCTTTTTCCTCTTACTCTCTATCTTTATTACTGGTGAATGCTTCCACACCTGAGACTTCACTCACTATGCTCATATCTGGGTTTCCAGTCTAGGTCTCCAACCTTGGCTCCACATTTACCTCCACATATATGTCTTCAGGTACCCTTCGTCCTATACTAAATGCTTAAGTAACTAAGTGAATGCTAAAGGTGCTAGCATTCACTTAGTTACTCAAGCCAAAAAGGCTTTGTGACTGTCTCACAGATTGCTTTGTTGTTGATGTTGTTGAGTGGGAACCATTGAGTTGGTTCCCACTCATATAGACCCTGCATAGGGTTTCCAAGAGCAGCTGGTGGGTTTGAGCTTCTGATCTTTTGGTTTGTAGTCCAGTGCCTAGTCTACAGCACCACACCAGGGCCCTGTTGTTGTTAAGTGCCACTGAGTCGGTTCCAATTCATAGCGACTTTGCATAAAGCTTCTGAGGCTGTAAATCTTTGTGGGGACAGAAACCCTAATCTTGCTTCCCAGGAGCAACTGGTGGGCTTGAACTGCCGAACTTGTGGTTCACAGTCCAGCACTTATCCTGCAGAGCCACTGGGCTCCCTACACCAGGGCTCTGTTGTTGAGTGGGTTCTGACTCATCACAACCCAGTGTAGGGTTTCTGAGGAGCGGTTGGTGGGTTTAAATTCACTGGCTTTGTGGTTAGCAGTCCAGTACTTATCCTACAACACCACACCAGGGACTTCCACACTCTTGATGCCATTCACCAAGACAGAATACAGGAGGAGAGACATCTGGGCAGAATTTACTAGCTGAGTGACCTTGGACAAGTTACTTAATCTGTTCTCTTTATCTTTGAAGTGGGTTTAATAATAGCACCTACTTTAATAAGATTTAATTAAAGTGGCAATAATAGTTGTCATTTAGTGAACATGTTAAGCTTCTGGTGTGGCTCTGTAGGATAAGTACTGGACTGTTAACCACAAGGTTAACAAACCCACCAGTCACTCCTCAGAAACTCTACACAGGGTGCCTATGAGTCCCACAGCAATTGAATAACGACAACACTAAGCACTTAACTTGAATTTGGAGATAGTGAATACCTTGTTCAAGGTTATACTGCTAGCAAGTGGCAGAGGCAACCATTGTCTTTACCTCATTGTTGCACTGTCTTTTTGGAGAGTGTATAAGTAGGGAAATGATTATAGCCTAATGTTAAGTGAGAAAGGATAGCAGATTGATAGCAAATAATCAGTGTGCATACAACATGTTATTAAAAAAGAAATTAACCTACAAGTAGAAAAGACTAGAAGGAAATATCACAAATGGCTATATGTGGTTGTCTTGGGTGTTTTCTATTATTCATCGTGCGTTCCAGTTATCTTTAATATACATGATTTTTGTTAAACGATAATTTAAAAAGTTAATTTTTGTCTACATTAAAAACAATCACAAATCCACAACCTGTTTTCATTTTGACTGGAAAGTACCCTCTGTTGGTATTTCTTCCTAATTCCAGTATTACTTTTCTCAGTAGAAATTTGTCGGTCTTCTCAAAGGTCATTCATGGTAGTAAGTAGGTTGTTGTCGTTGTAGCAACCCTGTATAGGGCTCCCAGCAAGTTGGTATCATAGCCACCCACAGCTTGACAACCTGGCTTCCAGGAGCAGCTGTCAAAATCAGGTCTGCGACGGGAAGTTCCTGACAACTAGGGTTTCTTCAACAGCCCAGGGCTTTCTGGACAGCGCCACTTGAGATCAGTTACTTTTTTTCCCCTTCTAAATAGCAGGCCGAATGCTCTTTTTCCGGTTCTGGCTGAGTTGCTAGCTTCAGCCTGGCGGGACGCCGGCCAGGTACCAGGCTCCCTGAGCACCACCCAAACTGGTCAGGCCAGTCCGCCCCGTGGTTGTTTCTGCCAGAGCTTGCCTGTGTGTGTGAGTGTGCGTATGTGAATGTGTTGAGACCCACCCTTTACCCCAGCAACACTTGTAGGTGGAAGGCAGCTGCAGGCACCAGTCTAGCAGTCAGGCCAGATGGGTGGAGCTGAATTAATCTAACCTGGAATTTCAACTTGGCCTGCACAACAGGTGAGGGGGGAAAGCAAGCAGAGAGAATGGGCACTTTGGCAACTTGGAAATATTCTTGTGCCCTGTCCCTTGCACCCTTCCTGGAACATAGCCCAGGGTGACTTTTCAAAGTGTGCCAGCTTTTAAAGCCTGGTTACTCCAGCCTCTCTCGGAGGCTGTCTGATCCCTCCTGAGCGTTGTTGTCCTCCTCGATCGATCACCCTCCATAAGACGATCACCCTCCATAAGACGATCACCCTCCATAAGACGTCTGTTCCCCTTCCTCTGGGAGGCAGGACAGGGGTATCAGATTAGTCTTTGTTTTCGAAGCAAAAGAGCAGCGTAAGGGAGACTCACGATGGCAGGGCTCTGGGGTCCGTCCTGGCAATGTCCTCGGCCCTGACCCCAGTGAGGATGTCCTGCCCAGGCCTGCAGCCTCTGCCCCTGGGCACCCTTTCTTGCTGGCCTGGCTGACTCGGTACGCAGACGTGCGATGTCCCCTATTGTCCTGCCATGGAATGAGCGAGCGACAGTAGGGAGAAGGGAATCCTAGTCGCGCCGAAGCTTTGGGCGCTCTAGGGCGCTGGGACGTCTGATACCTAAGGGCTGGTAGGGAGTGGCAGGAAGTGGGGATACCAAGGCTGGCTCAGCCCAAGGCCTAGGCTGCGAGGTCCCTGTATACCCCACCCCTCAGGGCCCGCCGCGCCACCCCGTGCTGCACAACCACCCTAGGGCTGGGATGGCCAGGCCCAGGGGGACAGCAGGGTCCAGGAGGGCCTCCCCAGCGTACTGACCATGGGGGGGGGGGGAAAGGACTACAGGTGCAAAGGCGCTGCAGCCAGCCCCAGCCCCCCACTCCGTCCTCTCCCCCTCTGAGGGAACTCCCCCCTCTTGGCCTAGGGGCCAGCAGCAGGGGCGGCTGTAGGGCCGGCGGGGCTCGGCGGGGCCGCACGTGCGCGCCCTCCCGGGCGGGGGAGTCCCCGGGCGAGCACGTGCCGCGGCGCGCGGGGGGCGGGGAGTCCCGCGGACGCCTTCATTGCTGCTGCCGCCGCGGCCGCCGCTGCCTCTTCCTTCCTCCTGCGCTGTCCCTTCCTCGGCTGGGCGGGGGGCTCCGCGCGCCGAGCTCGGCCAGCCGAGCGCTCCAGGAGGCAGGCGCCCCAGGCGGCGGCGGCCGCGACGGTAGCAGCGGCGTGGGCCGGGAAACTTTGCCCCTTTGTGCGCTCCGCCCCGGAGGCGGCCGGCAGGTCGGTGCAGTCGGTGCCTTTCCGGCTCCGGGGTGGGGGAGGGGCGGTGGGAGGCGTGGGGGGCCGACCGGAGGAGCGGACGGCCCGGGCTGGCTGGGGGGGCCCCCCGCTACTTTGTTGCGGGGGCACGGGGCGAGGGTGCGACGGGTCACAGTGTAGCGAAGCCAGGCGGGGGCGGCGGGGCGGGGCGGGGGCTGCGGAGCTGCCGGAGCCGAGCCGCCGAGGCCCCAGAACAAAGGAGCCCGAGCAGCGGCGTGCGCGCGACCTGGCCCGCCGCTCGAGCGCGCCCCCCCTCCTCGCGCCCCTCGGCGGCGCGGGGCGCCCTTCTCGGTCCTTCAGGCTCAGGCCCGGGCGCGGCCGGCGGCTGGCGCGGGATACCCCTGGGCGCGCCCCCGGCCTGCAGGCCGCTTCCGTGCTGGGGCGCCGGGGCACCCCCGCAGAGCCAGGCTCTGAGCAAACTTTATTTTGGAATCTCTGCGTCCTTGGGAAAGGCCCAGCGGCCTCCGGAGAGGGGTGTGTGTGGGAATTTTGGTGAAACTCTCTCTAGCCCCTAGAGGTGGGGGTGGGGCACAGGGCAACTTTCTTCGAAATCTCACATTGGCCACCCCCCTAAATTCGTTGTCCAGGCCGCCTCACTTAGACTGGGAGCCGGTGTTGGGCTGGGCCAAAGGTTGTAGGCAGGCCTTAATTTGAGTAAGCCCCTTCTTTTTTCCCATTTTCTCTTTTTTCCAGAAGCAGGAAGAAGTAACATGTAAAAGTGCTCCTGAGCCCCTAGTGATGCGCTTCCGCTTTCTGTCTTCTTTCAGGCAGCTTATTCTTATCCATCATCCTGACCTCCCTGAGGAGAAATACCAGGAGGAAACTCCCTGCCTTGCCCTACCCCCCACCTGCTCACCTCATGCTTGGGTCCAGGCTGGTTAAGGGTGAAGAACCCACCCAGCCAAGATGATCGATTTCCTGGGGTCTGCTGCTGGTGTCTTCCCCCAGGTCGCGGGCGTCAGCAGGTGGGAAAGCAGCCCCCGACTGAGCCCTGTCCAGCTGCTGCAGAGGAGGTGAAGAGGGATTGAGAAGACGCGCCCATCTCGGAGACTGGATGCTACTTGCCTTCACCCTTGTAGACTCTTGACTGTTTTAGGAAAGAAAGAGCTCTTGGTGGCCTTTGCAGGCAAGAATCTGGGCTGTGGTTCTGCCCTGTCACCTATGCCCCCACCTCTGGCAGCGCCATGAGCCAGTTTCAGGTGCCCCTGGCAGTCCAGCCGGACCTGCCAGGCCTTTATGACTTTCCTCAGGGCCAAGTGATGGTTGGGGGTTTCCAGGGACCTGGACTCCCGATGACCGGGAGTGAACCCCAACTCCGAGGGGGTGGAGATGGGCGAAAGAAACGGAAACGGTGTGGTACTTGTGAACCCTGTCGGCGGCTGGAAAACTGCGGGGCCTGCACTAGCTGCACCAACCGCCGCACGCACCAGATCTGCAAGCTGCGCAAGTGTGAGGTGCTGAAGAAAAAAGCCGGGCTTCTCAAGGAGGTAAGTTGGCCTCTGCTGAGCTCCCCTTTCCTTCCTTGTGGCCACTGTAACCACAAGTGTTTTGTGAAAGATTTATCCAGTTAAGCTCATTCTTAAGGCTGTTTTTTGGGGGAACCTTCTTGGTCCAACTTTGAGTTGGGCCCACGGGTAGGCATGTAACTGCAGTTGGGAGCTGACTTGGGGACTTTTGCAGAACTGACAGTTTAAAAGAGAGGAACCCTTCTACTGAGCTGCAGAGGGCTTCTGAACTAGCACCATCATCTCTGATATTTGCATGTGATACAGGACAGTGGTATCCAGCTTTCTCGCTAGAAGTTTGGTGTCTTGCTTTAAAGCCTTAGATGTTGCATTTTGGAGTAACATCAATGTTGGGGTGACCTGGGGAGAGATGGTGTCAGGTAAGGGCTGGAGACTGACTGATGGATTTGGAAAGAAAGGTCTGGGGTGACAGGGTGGTTTGATGCCGCCTTGATATTTTGCTGTTTTTCTTGATTTTTTTTTTTTCTTTACTTCAGAAAGATGGCAAGAGAGTCCGTTGAAGCTGTTAGGGATTATTATGAGAAGCTCAAATTTAGATTCCTGTACTGGACTGATTCTTGAGATTATAGACTTTTTTTTATCTTCGGATCTGGCATAGTTTTTGGGGTGTAGAAGGTACTTACATACTAGTTGAGTGAATGAATGATGTGTTTTGGAGATACCATCAGTGTCACAAATGAATACTCCTTTGGTTTAGACTGATAGAGGGAAGGAAGAAGGAATTGGGATGAAGGCAGAGAGGGGAAGTGGAGGGGCAGTGAGGGGAAGTGGAGGGCCAACATTGGCCATCTTTTTTTTCCCATTCTGGTGGCACGCTGCTGGATAGAAATTGGTGGCTGCCGTGACAGCGGAGAGTTGGCAGAAGTAGGAGTGAGAGAAGTTGAGCAGCTTGGGAGGAGCAGTGTAGCGGCTCAGGCCACTCCAGGCAGCGGAACTGGCGCTGGACAGAGACGTCGGAGGCCGGTGCTGTCTGCAGGGCACCTCTGGCTCTGCTACTAATTTGTCCAAGGACCTGATAACTCAGGAGTTGCACTTGTTGGTGTTTGAAGCCCCTTCCACCTGCATTGGGAGCTGGGGTGCTTCTGAGGGCTCAGGCACCTGTGGCTGCGATGAGCTGGTGGCACGCGCTCGGTATTTCCCTGACCGCTGAGTGCAGAGCCGTGCGGCTCTAGCGGGCTGTGGGCTGGTGGCTGGGAGGATAGAGCCAAGCACTGGGGGCAGGGAAGTAGGTGTTGGTGGGGTGTTTTTTGCTTCATCTTGCTTTCTCCTCCTCTTGCCCACTCCTTATGGAAGCTTCATGTGCCGTTCCAGGGTCCACAAACCCATGCTCTATTTTCTCTGCCTCTGGTGGAAGTAGACATCTGGATTGAATCTTCAGGAGCTTCCCCCTAGTATGGAACACTGTCCAGCCCCTCTCTTGCTGGTGTTGAGGGGAGTTAGCATCCTGCTGGCTCAGTGCCCTGCTGATCAGTTCTGAAAGGGAGCTGGGATTAGGAGTCACCCTCACTCCTGGGCATGAGATCTGGTGTTTAGGTATAAGGAAGACCTGCTCAGTGTTCGTTACCTTTGCTTGATACCTTTGCTTCCTTCCTTCCAGCATTCATTCCCATAATTGTTCCATTCCTCCCAAATTCAAGGCCTGGCTGTGGAGCGGGTGAATTCTCTAGGTTAGAGGGGTAAATTCTCTGGGCTGGATGTTCCTGGAGCCAGTAACTCTTGTGAGCTGCATTTAAGCTCTTTCTTTTGGCAAAGATGGGGCATACCTGAGTGAAAGGGGCTGGGAGTGAGGCCAGAGCCCTGTCATCCTTGTGTGTAAGCTGCCAGCCCAGACTGCTGGGTGGTCGCGGTTAAGATACCACGGATCTGGGTTGGCTTAGGTGTTGAGCCTCAACCCCCACTGCATCCCTGTGTCTGTATTCCTGAGGACTGTGGCCAGCTGCCCCACTCAGTTCCCAGAGTCAGGGAACATGTGGCTGGATGGCCTGTGGTGTCCCAGAGCTGTTAGACAGAATTTCCCTGGTCTCCGGAGAAACAATAAAAAGGAACTGTGGAGTGAATTTTCCTGAACGCTAACTTTCCCTGATTGAAAGAGCTCCTTGGAAACCCTATACAGGGTCACTATGAGTCTGAACTGACTCAATGGACACTTAACAACATTTTATTCTAATGATAGGTCCTTTCTTGATGTGCTTTCTTTCATGTAATGAATGGAGGTGTTGATGGAAGTAGATTAATTTTTTTTAAAAAAAGTCTTCAACTTGGTCAAATACATAGTGTCTGTCACCATCCTTTTTTTCCTGGTCCATGAAGTCTGGAAACTTGGGAACCACTGCCCAGGCTCAGCCTGCATTTAATGACTGTGTCCCTGACATAGTGTCAGAGCAGAGGCACTAGAGAGACTCTACTTAAGAGAAAGCCCTGAGGATAATTTGCATTTAGCAGACCCTGTGGAACTGCTGGGGTCTTAACTCTAAGATCAGAGCAGACTTGTAGCAAAGGGGCCATATCCTTGAGGGGGTTGGGAAGCAGGGAGAGTCATTACTGCCTTCTGAGTATTTGTTTTTTGGCTCAGGAATAGAATTTTAGAAATTGGCCCTAACTCTTCTGGTAGGGCAGACACAGTGTTCATCCTGAGGAGTCTCTTGGAAATCAGACCAACTGCCTGCATCCTGATCCCTGGCATTCCTTTTCTGTTCAGAGTGGTGCTGCTCCTCTGTGTACCTTTTCCTTAATTCTGTCTTGTCCGCATCTCCCTGGCTTCCTTTGGGGCCATTGCTCTTGTCTGTTGTTAGCTGCTCTGTGTCATCTTATAATGGGGATGGGAATAGATATTGGGGTTCTCATCTTTCCTCCTTATGCCTCACTCTTTCCCAGGGGTTTGTGGTGGGTGGTGGTGTGAGGGAACCCCTCTAACTAGAAAAGAAATTTGGCATTATATGACTAGAGACATCCCCCAGGAATGGGTCCCCCTCACAGGACCAGTGACTATGTCTCTTCGTGGTAGCAGTTTCCTCTGCTGGATTCTTTCTCCTTTGAGTTCTTATAGGATAAAAGGTGATCCAGGCTGCCCCAGGAGACTCACCTACATTAGATGAGACCTGTGACCTGAGTTAAGGGTATTGCGTCCTACCCTAATCCCTTTAACTGCCACATTACATCATCACCTAACTGTCAAACTGTGGGAATCACGGCCCAGCCAAGTTGGCATATATCTTGGGGTACGCAGTTCAATCTCTGACATTGGGCTCCGTCTTCTTAGTGCTTGTAAAGCCAGAGAGAAGGCAAGGAAGGCAATGAGAGGTATTCACCATGTTGTTGTTGGATGCCCTTGAGTCAGTTCCGACTCATAATTACCTCACGCACAACAGAATGAAACACTGCCAGGTCCTGCACCATCCTCACAGGTATTGTTAACTGGAGCCCATTGCTGCTGCCACTGTGCCAATTCATCTCGCTGACTTGTGGAGACTTTACCTAGGATAATGTCCTTCTCCAGGGACTGGTCCCTCATAATATGTCTGAAGTATGAGAGATATTCTAGCTGTACTTATTCCAACACAAATTGGTTTGTTCTTTTGGCAGTTCATGGTACTTTTTATATTCTCTAACACCATAACTCAAATGCATCAATTCTTCTGCAGCCTTCCTTATTCACTGTCCAACTTTCACATGCATATGTTGTTGTTGTTGTTAAGTACCGTGGTGGAGTCGGTTCCAACTCATAGCGACCCTGCACAAGGTTTCTGAGACTGTAAATCTTTACAGGAGCAGAAAGCTTCATCTTTCTCCCATGGAGCAGCTGGTAGTTTCGAACTGCCAACCTTGAGGTTAGCAGCCTGATTCATAACCACTATGCTATCAGAGATCCTTCACATGCATATGCGGATATTGAAAATACCATGGCACACCTTAGTCTTCAAACTGACGTCTATGCTCTTCAACACTTTAATGAGGTCTTGCACAACATATTTGCCTAATGCAGCACATTGTTTGATTTCTTGACTCCTGCTTGCATGAGTGTTGATTGTGTATCCAAACAATCTGAAAGTCTTTGACAACTTCACTCTCTTCTCCATTTATCTTCATGTTATTTATTGGTCCAGATGTGAGGATTTATAAGTATGGTGAAAAAATACAGCCTTTCCTAATTTTAAACCATTCAATGTCCCCTAGTTCACCATTTTTGTTGTTAAGTACCATTGATTCAGTTCTGACTCACAGCAATCCTGTATAGGCTTTTCGAGGAGTTGCTGGTAGGTTTGAACTACCGACTTGTGGTTCACAGTCTAGTGTTGATTCTATAGCACCATGACTTTGGAAAATTGTGCTTCAGACATAACTGGTTTATAACTCCTTGGCCACAGTCTAAAAGGGAAGTTAGCTGCAGGGATAGAACTGTTTTTAAAAAGGAAATGCTGACAGATGGGTATCCTACGAAGGGAGATGTTGGGGCTGAGGAAGGACTGAGCCACTGGTGTGAGTGCACAGACTGTTTGCCAGTGAATGTGGTGATAAATGGCCGTGTTCATACAAGGAAAGGAGCTTAGATGTCACCAAAGGCAGATTCTAGAGTGTTGTGACCTCTTCGGAGAATCAACAAAGTCTAGAGGCTAGAATGTGCTAAGGCTAGCAGAAAATACTCCAGACAGTAAAAGTCCTTGTATTCCCAGCAAGAATGAGAATTAAGGGGTGGTAGTCGGAAACCCTGTACAGGGTCGCTATGGGTCGGAACCGACTCGATGGCACTTAACAACAACAACAACAGACTGGTGTGGCGCTATGGAATAAAGCACTGGACTGCAAGGTTGGTTTGAACCACAAGGTCAGTGATTCAAGCTCACCAGCCGCTCCTTGGAAACCCTGGACAGGATCGTCACTATGAGTCGAAACCAACTCGACAGCATTTGACAACAAATAACAGCAACAACATGACTAGTCCAGAGTGAGAGCAACCCTCAGTG